ATCGAAGAATATGATAGAGAGAATAGAGTGAAATCGAGGAGGAAGACGATTATTTGAAGACCGAGATTCGCGAGACCAATCGGCAGCCAAATGTATGCGAAAAAGAGATGACCCGTTAGGGATGGATCACGAAGAGATGGGTACTGTGGGTTGACCTAAATTAAAGAATAGATAAAGCGAGAAGCTCAAAAGTTATAGACTTTCAATTTTCACGTTCATTTGTGCATCCCCTTTACGGAGACGCGTTCCAAAATTTTCTCAAGACACTTTTACAAGGTCTTGGGGTTAATGCTAACCTCAAACTTGGGTAATTAAACCAAAGTGTGTGGTTTCCGTCGCGCTATGTGTAGAGGTCGTAGGCCAGTAGCCGCTTTTTCCTACGAGACACACAAAAGGTGCACACAGTCGCGTCGTCTCGCGTCTCTTCGGTGATAAAGGATCGCTTTCTCTTTCTTTCTTTCTTTCTTTTCAACTATTTCAAGCGTCTTTCACCGCCCAGCACTCGCTTACGACCATACCACGTTGAAAACACGGCATCCCGTCCGATCTGCCAAGTTAAGCAACGTTGGGCTCGGTTAGTACTTGGATCGGAGACGGCTTGGGAATCCCGAGTGTCGTAAGCTTTTTGCTTTTCGCCGGTAGAGTAAAGATGATGGTTTGCTTGTAGGTTTCGATAAAACAAAGGAAAACCGTTGCTTTGAATTTTGTTTTTGGTTCTTTATTTTGTTCCCCCATCACTGGGGCCCCAGTAAGTGCAATAGCGGGCCGACGCTGTACGGCGAGAAGCAAGCTTCTACAAACCGTACCAGTTCCAAAAATTGATTAATCTCGATGAGTTCAATAGAACTCGTACCGGAGATTAAGCCGATAAGAACAGAGGAAGTTTATTCCGATAACCTTATGAAATTTCAATAATATGGGTTGCCCGATGGCATAATTGATGAATACAAATACAGACAGAAGTATTTGCATAGGATAATCGGATAGGTCAAATAAATCACAATAGAGTATATAGAAAATTGGTCTAAGAGACAACAATTTTAAGAAAGTTGAAAAATATAATCAGTAATAATAAATGTAAGACAACAAGTAGGGCTTCTCTCTGCTCAATCATCATATTGCTTAGTTCCCGTGAGATGTTCCACATATATGTCCCGTGACCATTTGATCGCGTCCGTAACCATCAGTTTCTTCATGAGTTGGCCGTGAAATTTTCTGTAGACCTAAACCACCCATCTGACTGGAGAGGTAGATCACTTCTGGGCTGGCTCGTTCCGGCAGGTTCATCCACTTCTTGGCGACGGCCTTGAGCTTATTGTCGAATGCCGTAAGTGGTTTTTTTGCTACAACACCATTTTTTAGATGAAAAGAAATACACGGTAAAACAAATGTGTTGATAGCATCGGCCTTCTGCCATGGAGCGAGCAACGAGGAGTCGAGGGCGTCGAGCTGTGCGGTCATCTTCTCAATCACCTTCTGAGCGCTGGGGGCGGAGTGGTAGCCGGTTGGTGTGCCTAGGTGTTCATATAGATCGTCCTCAGAGTGGACGGCTATAAACTCCCCTTGTACTCGTAGTTGGTTGTTGAGTGTTTGCTTCTTCTTCCCGTCGATGCAGAGGCTGACGCACTTCTTGGAGTTGAACTTCAGGCCCAACCAGTCAGCTGCCGAGGAGACGACATCAAGTGTTTTCTGAAGTTGTGTTGGAGTACCTGTGATTACCGCAAGGTCGTCCGCTTATGCCAGCACATCCACATTTCGTCCATGCATCTTGTATCCGTTGTTGACTTGGAAGACGGCGCGAAGGAGTGGCTCAAGTGTTAAATTAAAAATAACGGGTGACAAAGGACAACCCTGCTTTACTCCTGCCTGAATTGGGATGTCGTTGGTCGGACCAGTGGCGCTTCGGATGGTGGTGGAGCAGTTGGCGTAGAGACGGCGGATGACATCGATGGCGGTGTTGTTGAGTCCGGAGTATTCTAGAGCACTGAAAATGGATTGATGTGGGACACTACCAAATGCGTTTGTTAAGTCTAGCCATGCCATAGAAACTTGTCTGCGGTTCCGGCGAGCGTCCACGATGGTCGATTGAAGAACGAAGTTGTGCTCGGCACATCCATCCGCTGCCACGAATCCTTTCTGCGATTTGGAGATGCGACCGTGACGGCTTGCCCATTTCCCGAGACGCTTTGCTAGAACGGAAGTATACACCTTAGAAATTGTATTGGACATGGAGATAGGTCTCCAGTTATTGACTTCCCGTTTATCACCCTTTTTGTGGAGCAGCACCGTCGATGATTGATTCCATTTTGCTGGCACGTGATGTAGTCGGTGGCAAGCGTTGAAGAGTGAGGCGAGGATGAGTCCACCGTTGTCGTACTTCTTCCACACGGCGTAACGAAGCAGGTCCGGGCCAGGCGCGGTGTTGGAGCATCGGGCGAGGCGTGACCAAACCTCTTGAGCTGTAAAGATGTCTTGAAACGGGTCAACATCACCGGCTAGGCTGTCCTCTTGCTCTGGCACGAAGTCGGGAACCATCGGATCCACTGGTGGGGACGGTCCAAACACGTCGCTGAAATGCCGGTGGAGGTCGTTTGCTCGAATTTGACAAAATGGTGAACCTGCCTCAACAACTTCTCTGAATGCCCGTGGGCGACACTTCCGGTACATCTTCTGAATCCTCGAGGCGGCCTTTGGATCGTAGCGTGGTGGTCCTCTTCTTGGTGGTGGCGGCGGCTGTCTTCTTGGCTGAGCCCCGACACGACATCTAAATTTGCTTTGAAGGTTAAATAAATGTGCCCACGAGGCTAAATTAATTTTTTTGGTGTCAATAAATTGTTGTATATGCCTTCGAGATTTGATTCGTCCTGAAATATCCTACTTGTTGTCAAGATCAACAGCACTCCGAGAAAGAGCAGTTGAAAAACTCTCTGTAAACAAAACTTTAATAAGAGAGTCGGTTAAAGTTACCCGTCATAAATCCACACATGGAAACTTGTCGGTACCAGACGATGTGGTACCATCCATCACTCGTTAAACTTGAAATAGTGCCATCCAAAATCAGTTTAACAAGTGTAATAGGCCAAAAAATAGGGTAGTTTAACTAATATATCACTCAGTGATCACTCGTTATCTTACTGATTTGACCAAATAAAAATATAAATCTCGAAGCCATATACAAAAAGTCAAATCCAACACTTTATTGACACCGAAAAAAAAGACCGTAAAAAAAATTAATTTAGCCTCGTGGGCACATTTATTTAACCTTCAAAGCAAATTTAGATGTCGTGTCAGGGCTCTTGGCTCGAAAACCGCTTGCCATCAGCTATGGGTGTATCCTGCGCCGTTGCGAAGCGCCTTGATGCCTTTGAATTCGATGGAGCCGCTGCTAGTAACTAGCACCAAATTGACGATTTCGCCCGAACGACCAGATCTACCCTAAATGACAAAAGTTAGAAATTTTAACCAGGATGGCGTGGGATTGAGGTTTCACAACAAAATTTCCTTAGCGCTTTTTATTTATAAACGATCTTTACCATAAAGCGAAGACCAGGGACAGTAACAACGCGTTTGTCTTTTGCAGCCACCGTTTGCTCGAAGTGATGACCATTCTTGTTATGTTTAAAGGTAAAAATCTGGTTCTTGAAATGGAGTTCGATTCGATTTTGGTCGACGTTCAAATAGGTCGCCTGCTCGTCCTTGAGCGTAAATTGAAGAATTCGGTGTGATTCAGACAATTCCGTCTTCGTTTCTGCCATTTTCGTTCTAAATAAGAAATCAATGATCGTGAAACAAGATTTGAAAAAAGGCTAAATTCGTAGCTATAACGAGCAACTACTCGTTACTTTCTGGATATAACGAGTGATCACTCGTTATTTCAAAGATTAACGAAAAGATTCAAAGAATAGAAGAAATTAACGGATTCACAAAAGCGGGGTAGGCTACTTTGCGCCATTTTTTTGGTGCAACTGGGTCGTTTGTGCAGCTCGCCATAGCTTTCTTCTAAGTGGGCCAATCTTTATGATTTTCGTTTCATTTTGTAGATAGTTTCAATAAGTGCAACAAAATAAAACCAAAATCATAAAGATTGGCCCACTTAGAAGAAAGTTATGGCGAGTTCCGCAAAAAAATTGTAGCCTACCCCATAAAGAAAATCGTATATCAGGCGATAAGCGAAGCTAGGGGCAAAGCGAAACGAAGACACCCAACCGGCTTGATGGAAACGAGAGTTTCAAATGAAATGTTTGCCAAAAAGAATTTCCTTCCCTCCCCCGAAATGCATTTTTTTCTATTTTTTCTTGATTACCCGTGGGAATTGTGCAAAAATAATGAAATAACTTTGAGATCTCCATTCAATCATTAAAATCTATTCTTTTAGGTTTTTGATGCTCTTCCATTCGTTCGGCGTTACTTTCTCTACTGGGTTCGACATGTGCACAAGAAAGAGAAGCTCTTCATCAACACCTTTCAACCACTTCAACACAAACCGTAGTCGGCTGACGGGCATAAATAGAGAGCAAAGGAAGAGAATCGGAGAAGGGTGGAAGAATGAGAGAATAGGGCTGTGGACCAACCTTCGTGGTAGGTGTGTGTTCCTATTCGAAACGGTTCGAAAAGAAAATTAAAAGAGTGATCATATGTTTTCTTTACAACGACAGTCGTTATTAGCATATTGTTACTTTTTGGGGGACCATGCCTTAAAAGCATTTTTCCTTGATGAATATGCTGAATATACGTATCTGACTTCCCAAAAATTCAACAATGCGTACATACCAGAAACCAATAATGTTTCCATTTTTAGAGGACCCTACCCTCGTTCGTGGACGGAATACAAAGTGCCCTCGTGCAATCTCTCGGTCACATTGTGACAAGTGAATCCCGTCTTTCCGAACAACTACAAGGTAAAGCTTTCGGCATTAAAATTCTTATATTTAAGTTTTAGGAAACTTCATTCCCCACAACCGCGTTTATTTTCGATGCTGACAATAGAAGTAATGTTGAATATGAGGTAACATTTTAAAAACTGCACTCTATCATAACCGAACCTTGTTTACAGGTATCAATTGCTTTTGTGTTTCGCAACGGAACGGGTAAAAGAAGATCGGATCTTGCTGCCGATTGCACAGCGGAAAACTTTGAGGAAAATGGTTTATGAATCTCAGTTTAACCTATTGAATCATAACCGAACCTTGTTTACAGGTATCAATTGCTTTTGTGTTTCGCATGTATTTACAGGTATCAATTTTAGATATTGCGGGTGTCGCTTTGCAACACAAGATCGATAATGACGTACGGGTTGGCAACACGAGTTAAAGTAAGCAATAACAATTTTATTCCTTATAACTTTCTTTTCGTTTAGTCTGATCAAATTACTTCATTGTGTCGTTCCTTTGACCCTTGTGGAAATGGGTTGACGTTGTGGCAACATCTTGCTGAGACTGGAAATCTGCCTGGTGAAGGTATCTTTTTAGTGAAATGAATACAATGAATGATTTTCACTAAACTTATTTTAGCCGATCTTCCGTATCCGGCTCGTTTGGGTGTTGGCGTTTGTGTAAAAGGAGTCGTGCCACCAAAAAGCACTCGCTCGGATTGGCCGAATTCTCGTTAGCTTGGGACATGCCGAAGGTGAAATTCGGCGATGGAAGACGAGAATACAAAAGGTAAGAAATTTTTATTTCAATAATATACTATTAAAAGAATATTGTAAAAGAATGTCCAGTTTGTAACCGTTTTGCTTTTCAGGCGATACACCCGATTCTTTGGAGGGACTCGCGGCGAAATTGTGCTCAACAACTCTTCTCGACTATTCGAAATGGGAGACGAAAATCAACGAGTGGCAGGGACCGTTTTTGAGACATTCGTGCGTTCATGCTGTGATTTAATCCATGTTATCAAGTTTTATTCTAACATTTAGTAGCACTCGAGTTTAGATATTTGCCCGAATGGTACAAAGCCGCGCTTTTCAACGAGCTCTACTACATGACCGACGGTGGCTCAGTGTGGTTCGAGTATGATGGGAATTGGAGTCAATAGGTAGTTGTAGATATCTTTCTTCAACCTTTTCTTCAGGAACCACATCTTTCTCCCTACACGCAAGCGTTGATGAAAAGGCATGGTCGTTTTGGGTATCTTGAATCATGGGAATATCGAATGGTGACCACCTATGATGTGCATTTTTGTAAGTTTTATTCTTTTTTATGGGTAATCATTTAAATAATTTAATGGCTAGCACTAAATAGTTATTGACTTATATTTACAAATGGGTTCATTTAGATGCTTCTTATGCGATCGCCTCTCTCTGGCCGGATTTGGAGTTGACCATTCAAGCGGAATTCAGTGAGTTTCAAAGAGAATCTTTGGATTACTATCTTGTACGCTACCTATAAAGTTCCTGTAACAACTAAGTTTATCTTTTCTTTACAGCTGGTCAAGTCGAACACAGCGCCGAGAAAGAGATTCGCTTTCACATGGAAGGAGACAAAGCACCACTCAAATCGAGAGCCCGCGTACCACATGATTTAGGAAATCCATGTATCACAAGTTTTTTAACTGATTATGTAATCCATTTTTCCGGCGCAAGATCCCTGGTACGCCTATGTGATGCACGACACTGGAAAATGGAAAGATCTCAACTTGAAATTCGTGCTCACTTCATGGCGTGAATATGTGATTCTGACGGAGAAGAATCGCAGATTTTTAGATCATGTCTACCCGGCTGTTAAGGTAAATTTTGGTGCGGAGAATTTCTTTAGTCTTTTAGTCTCATATTTGGTGCTAAACTAACCAGCAAACACCATCGATTGTTCGCTTCTTTTTTGCCGCAGTGTTGCTAAGCTTGAAAATGAAGAGAGGGACAAAATACAAAGTGATATTTTCAAAAGTTCCAAATATTCGAAAAATATTCTCAATCGATTGAGTGTATTTAATTACCCCAGAAAATGCAAAACAAGACTTGAAAAAACATGTCTAGAATAAGGTCTGGCCAAGGCGGGTTAAAGTGACCCCCCCCCCCCCACATCGGCGCGAAAATGCGTTTTCTATAGGATTTTTCTGGGAGTACCTTTTTTAGATGCGGAAAATTGTGCTGATTCCGAATCTGAAGGAATTTTCCAAATCCCTCTGACAGAAATTTTAGCTTTAGCAGTTTTTTGGTCATTTTGTATGGGAAATTTTGTGGTACCCTGCAGTTTGGAGCTCGTAACTCGACAACGAGGGTCTAGAACCAAAAACGAAGGAGTAGGTCTTATTCTAGAGATTCTTACGAATATTTTGATGCAAAAATCATAAAATTTGCTCAACTCTACAAAATAACATCTTTAACATCTTTAAAGAAATTTGCAAAATACACTAAAAACATCAGGGGAAACCGTGGCCGAGTGGTCTAAGGCGCGCGCGACGTCAATCCAGCGCAAAAGTACGGGGTTGTTGGTTCGACTCTCCCGCGCACTTCAGTCATTATTTTGCATATTCCTTAATTGTTTTGAGTGAATACGATACATAGCTACATTGTTTTTTTGAACAAAACAATTGTGCAATAGAGAATTTTTCAAAGTTTCTCATTTCTTCTTTAAAAAATGTTATAACTTTTTGTAGAGTTGAGCAAATTTTATGATTTTTGCATCAAAATATTCGTAAGAATCTCTAGAATAAGACCTACTCCTTCGTTTTTGGTTCTAGACCCTCGTTGTCGAGTTACGAGCTCCAAACTGCAGGGTACCACAAAATTTCCCATACAAAATGACCAAAAAACTGCTAAAACTCAATTTAAAAAATTTCTGTCAGAGGGATTTGGAAAATTCCTTCAGATTCGGAATCAGCACAATTTTCCGCATCTAAAAAAGGTACTCCCAGAAAAATCCTATAGAAAACGCATTTTTGCCTTATTTCGAGCCGATGTGCCCCCCCGAAGCTTATTAGTACCGGTTTTTCTGTCTTCATTATCTTCGTTAAGATTCTTCACAAATAACAAATTAATTCAGATGGAAGGTACTCTCGAGAATATTGCGATTTACGCCTCATAAAAGTTGGCAATCTCAAAGGAATTAGTCAAAAATTGAAATTTTTGATATCAGTACAAGTGGGTTTTTGTCACAAGCTTTTCATAAATATAGTTTTTAGGAAGGAATGGAGTTTGGAAGTTGATCAGAACATTTTTGCACTATTTTGAGATTATTTACTTGAACATTGTTTTGCTGGTCAAATTATGTGTTTGGAATTGACTTGGGCTTTTATTTGTTTCGCCTTTGGTTGTCACAAGTATTTCTTCTGGCACTTGCACTTTTGCGCCTTTTGATCTCCTATTGCTTGCTCATTTTGTACGGGTTCCTTGTTAGTGTAACGTTGTTTTTATGAAAATAAATGCTTTGCAGACTATGGCGTTTCGATATTGATGATTGGGGTTAGAGACCCATAGTTTTTATCAACCAGTACTCGCGTTTTTGTGCAATAGAATAAGGTTAAGGAAAAGGTTTCTTTCTAACACATATTTTTGAAGTTCTCGATCCAATGAATTATTGGTTTGCATGATAGATGTTGTTAAGAATTGGAGAATTAAGAATTAATTTGTTTTGGTAATGGTGATGCCAGTGCCGCCTAATTAACTTCCTTTCAATTACACTGATTTTAGATGTCTCATAGCAGTGAAGATAGGGGACAACCTGACGAACGGCGAGTGGTGCAAGGCGGATAGCCAAATGAAGACGATCTCGAGAGTAAGCTTCTCAACATTCAATACAAACGCTTCTACGTGGATGCCAAGCAGAACAAATGAGGACTTTTCATCAAGATAGCAGAGGTATTTTTTGTTTGGTGCTGTCGAAAGACAAATTTCGTTAGTTAGAAGTAGTAGCAGGTTGAGAAAGCTTATGGGAAATATAGATGGGAAACAATGACAAATCACGTATCATCCTCACCATGTCGGCAGCCGTTGCCTTGGCTCTGGAGAAGATTGAGATCCTTAAAGCGTTTTCTGATGAGACACCAGACAAGGAAGTTGAGGTGAATTAACGTTATATTCAACTTTAATGAACTTTGTTTAGAAAGACGTTGAACAGAAGTCGGAGAAGTTGAATTATGAAACCAGGCGCTATTATTTGGATCTCAAGCAAAACGTTTCTTGCGAATTGCGCAAACCGTATACACTTAATTGTAAATTTCTTGTGAAAAGGTTTAGGAAAAGGAAAAGGGCGATCTCTTACAACGTTTGCATGTCTCGAAGTCAGGTTTGTCTATAAATGTGCAATAAAATTTCCACCTAACAAAAAAGTTCAGATGGTGATTCCCGGAGAGGGTATTGGTGAACTTCTCGCAACTTTACGGAGCTAATCGACAAATATTCCTCGGAATATTTGGATGAACATATTTCACCAGCAAATCTTCAGAGGCTAAACGGGTTACCTAATTGTTTTGTTTATGCCTTGATATATTATTTTTAGTTTCGCGGTGAAGGCGGCAAGATGTTCTACTCGCTTGATTTATTATTGCAAAACAGTATGAGTTTCAAAAAACATGGAGGTTTTACTACTGCTCTAAAGAACAGTTGTAAAAATTCTCATTATAACTTTGTCATGGGCAATAATAATTTAGGTGAAGCAAGCTTCCGCACCTCGATCAACGTTCCATTTATTCGTTGGCGAAATTCCGAGGGGCTCTCAGCAAGATCTTCGACGGCTTTGAAAAAGTAAGATTTAACTCTACTATTTTTTTACTCTTTCTTCAGGTTCCAACGGAGGAGGTTGATGGAACTGCAGAATAATTCGAGTTATGATTATAAGATTTTTCCGTTTTTCAGATAAATGTTCATATTTTACGCGATTCACTCGTTGTTATAGATGCCAATTTTTTTTTTCCAACTCCCTTATTTATTTATTTGCTACTTTGCTACTGTTACATTGCTTACGTGGTTTGTATTCTTTGATAAACAACCCAAACTTTTTGCGAATTTGATTGTTTTTCCTCAAACTTAATTTATTTTAAGGTTTCATTTTTTCATACTATTTATCTCCGTTTTCAATCTGTTAAGGTATTATGTTCATTTTTATGGGAAATTTCCATTTGTTAGCACATGATTTGTGTGACCAGTAGAATTTTTCGGCTGAGCGAACGTTTGTCACTGCCTTAAAGTTGTTTCTGGGCGTGATCTTCTGATAAATTATTTATTGGAGTTCATTTGCTTCTACGTTAGAGATGCAGCACAAAGATCAAAGGTTTATTTGTATACTCATCAGGTATTATGGAATTTGTTAGTACTTAAACATGTGTTGGCAACTGGCTTCGGGTTCAACGGAATATTAGGTTTTTGTCTGTAGAAAGAGCGGGGTAAGGGGTGGATCTCTGGGGAGAACAATGGAAAAGAAATGCTTTCATCTTTCAAAACTCGAAATGCTGCCACGCTCCTCGAATTTGACCTTCCTTCTCACTCGCGGCTCTCTTTCTCCGACTACTTGCTGCTGTTTTCTTACAAGAACTTGCTAAACTTACTTTCAAGTGAGGCTGATATTAACTCAAATTTTAATCAAGGCAAATTTACTAAAAAGAACTTTGGTGTTATTTTTAATACCATTAAAGAAAATCAAATGCTGTTTTTTCCTAAAATAAAAATCAAAAAACCTTTTTCTAAAGAAAACCGTCAAAAGTGAGAATGGTAACATGCTGTGAAATCGCAACTTATATAACGAGTGACCATTCGTTATATTCGTATCCTCGTCAGGTTATTGAAAATTTCATCGGCCAGAAACGATGCGATGCCAGGGAACCCTCTAGAACACTCAAACTTCGGCTGAATCATTTCGTTACGGACGATGAGTTGATGCTCGGTGAGGATGACCACGCCCACTCACGTTAAAGCTTGCCAATGGCAACTTTCATTTGAAACTCTCGTTTCCATCAAGCCGGTTGGGTGTCTTCGTTTCGCTTTGCCCCTAGCTTCGCTTATCGCCTGATATACGATTTTCTTTATGGGGTAGGCTACAATTTTTTTGCGGAACTCGCCATAACTTTCTTCTAAGTGGGCCAATCTTTATGATTTTGGTTTTATTTTGTTGCACTTATTGAAACTATCTACAAAATGAAACGAAAATCATAAAGATTGGCCCACTTAGAAGAAAGCTATGGCGAGCTGCACAAACGACCCAGTTGCACCAAAAAAATGGCGCAAAGTAGCCTACCCCGCTTTTGTGAATCCGTTAATTTCTTCTATTCTTTGAATCTTTTCGTTAATCTTTGAAATAACGAGTGATCACTCGTTATATCCAGAAAGTAACGAGTAGTTGCTCGTTATAGCTACGAATTTAGCCTTTTTTCAAATCTTGTTTCACGATCATTGATTTCTTATTTAGAACGAAAATGGCAGAAACGAAGACGGAATTGTCTGAATCACACCGAATTCTTCAATTTACGCTCAAGGACGAGCAGGCGACCTATTTGAACGTCGACCAAAATCGAATCGAACTCCATTTCAAGAACCAGATTTTTACCTTTAAACATAACAAGAATGGTCATCACTTCGAGCAAACGGTGGCTGCAAAAGACAAACGCGTTGTTACTGTCCCTGGTCTTCGCTTTATGGTAAAGATCGTTTATAAATAAAAAGCGCTAAGGAAATTTTGTTGTGAAACCTCAATCCCACGCCATCCTGGTTAAAATTTCTAACTTTTGTCATTTAGGGTAGATCTGGTCGTTCGGGCGAAATCGTCAATTTGGTGCTAGTTACTAGCAGCGGCTCCATCGAATTCAAAGGCATCAAGGCGCTTCGCAACGGCGCAGGATACACCCATAGCTGATGGCAAGCGGTTTTCGAGCCAAGAGCCCTGACACGACATCTAAATTTGCTTTGAAGGTTAAATAAATGTGCCCACGAGGCTAAATTAATTTTTTTTACGGTCTTTTTTTTCGGTGTCAATAAAGTGTTGGATTTGACTTTTTGTATATGGCTTCGAGATTTATATTTTTATTTGGTCAAATCAGTAAGATAACGAGTGATCACTGAGTGATATATTAGTTAAACTACCCTATTTTTTGGCCTATTACACTTGTTAAACTGATTTTGGATGGCACTATTTCAAGTTTAACGAGTGATGGATGGTACCACATCGTCTGGTACCGACAAGTTTCCATGTGTGGATTTATGACGGGTAACTTTAACCGACTCTCTTATTAAAGTTTTGTTTACAGAGAGTTTTTCAACTGCTCTTTCTCGGAGTGCTGTTGATCTTGACAACAAGTAGGATATTTCAGGACGAATCAAATCTCGAAGGCATATACAACAATTTATTGACACCAAAAAAATTAATTTAACCTTCAAAGCAAATTTAGATGTCGTGTCGGGGCTCTTGGCTCGAAAACCGCTTGCCATCAGCTATGGGTGTATCCTGCGCCGTTGCGGAGCGCCTTGATGCATTCGAATTCGATGGAGCCGTTGATAGTAACTAGCACCAAATTGACGATTTCGCCCGAACGACCAGATCTACCCTAAATGACAAAAGTTAGAATTTTAACCAGGATGGCGTGGGATGGAGATTTTACAACAAAATTTCCATAGTGCTTTTTTTATCTATAAACAAATCTTTACCCGCAGGCGGAGACCCTGATCTCCGCGTGTGTTTTTTTAAGCACAGCTTCTTTGTAGTGATAACCATTCGCATTGTGTTTGAAGAAAAGTGTTTGATTGTCGTAATCGACTTGAATCTCATTTCCGTTGACCGTCAAGTAGGTGGCCTGTTCGTCCGTCAGGGAGAGTTTATAGTTTGTTTATAGTTTAGAAAATTCTTGAAAATGCGAATTTGTCTACTTATCTAAGTTTCGATGCTATATAATTTTCATATTAACATGAAAATAGGTTTCTGTCGATGAAAATGTTCAAATCAGCGCCATTAACTTCTTCTAACATAAAACCTCTAAAACCAGAGCTTTTCCAAATCTCTCAAAAGGCACTTTTAGAAAACTAATACACCTTTACATTGCTAAAAAAATGTGGATTTTTTGTTCCATTAGTTATTTAGAAAACAAAAATTGAATAAAACTTAGTAACACCTAAGTGTTACTAAGTTTGGTAAATTGAATACAGAAAGTACAAAAATTCAAAACTAATCAAAAATAAAACTAACCAGATTTTTGAAGAATGAAGCTTTCACTTTCTTTGGTGAATTTTTTTTGTGATCCAGGTTAATTCGAATATACATATTTTAATTTCTGAGATGAAATGCAAATTTAATCAAATTTGGTATTTTTGATTTCATTTGATAGAGATGGTTTTTTGTTCGACCATACATCATGGTAATGTGGTAACAAGGCATGCTGTACAATGATAATTGTGTTGTGATACTCACTATGATATACATATACTGGGTTGGTGTATAATTAACTGCCGTTTCTCTGACTAGTCAACTTTGACATTGAATTTCTAGGGTGCTACTGGACCAATTTTCTGATTTTTTTTTTAATTTTGAAGCTAAAACACAGAAAATTTTTTAAAATTGATACTTCAAATAATTACCGTAACCCCCGCATTTGGGGCGCGTTTTAGAAAAGTTGTTTTTTAACAAAAAGGGCAATTTTGACAAAAACGTTCTCAAAAATTCTCAAGCAAGCGGCACTCAGAGTGATAAATAGAAAAATCGTAGCGGATGTCGAGCTTGTTTGAATGGTACCAAAACCGCCGCAAAATACTCAACCATGACTCTAGACGATACTTTGGAATACTTTGGAATTCCGGACTTAAATCCAATGGAAATTCCTACTTCCTTTCCTAGCACAAAATTGAGGGAAACACTATATTTTTTAACAGGATAATGCTTCAATTCATGTCAGCCAATCCACTAAAGCTTTTCTGGAACGTCACAACATCGATTTTCTCGAATGGCCTGCGTGCTCACCGGACTTAAACCCAATGGAAAACTTATGGGGCATTCTCGTGAGGAATATTTATGCTAATGGAAAGACTTAGGACACGATTTCGCAACTCAAAAAAGCAATTTTGTAAGCTTGGACGTCAATTCCACTACAAACGCTTCAAAACTAGTGAATTCGATGAAAAGGCGACTACTCGACGTCATCGAGAAAAAAGGAGCAACTACTGATTATTAGTGAACTTTTTATTCGTTTTTCTTTTGTTTATTCTCAAAGTTATTGTTCTTTTTTATGTGGTCCTATCATTTCGCAACAGGTGTTAAATAGAGAAAATCTTATAATTTTGTTGCAATTTCTTCAGATAATGTTAAAAAACGTATAGATGCCTATTTTTGTATATGTCGTAGCCGATTATGAATGAAAGTAGCTTTTTCTAGAAATTTGTCGTCAAATGTAAATTATTTTTTTATGTTGTAGTTGGTAAAACCCCAATTCCCCCAGTTCGAGTACGGATCGGCAACTTTCCCATTTCGACCCAGAATTTAAATGTTTTGAACCGTAATACGTTACTAGTTATCACTTGTTAATCATGCTTTATACTTTCGAACAAAATTTAAGAGTTTTCACGTTTTTAACTTTTGTCTTTTATATTTTCATCGGACTAAATTTTCTTTTTAGGATGGAGGATCGATTTGCTGAAACCTTGACTCAATATCAATCTCAAAGAAAGAAGCGATGTCAAGTCGATTTGGTTGACCTTCAATCGGTGCCCGACGATGACTACAAGTTTTTGATGATTTACCAGGATCATCTCACAAAATTTGTAATCCTTCGTGCATTAAAATCTAAAACAGCGTTTGAGGTGGTGAATGACTTGATGGAGATATTTGGAACTTTTGGAGCTTCAACGATTTTGCAGTCGTACAATGGGCGTGAATTTGTCAAC